AAAATGGGCTTAAAGTGTAAAAAACCGAACTTCTCCTTTAAGATCACTGGCAGAGATAAAACGAAGGGATCGACAGAATAGTGCGCGGGGAGAACCAGATCGGGGCGTCAATACTTCTGAAAGTGAGCCGAGACAGATCAGTCATGACTGGGTTTGATTTAAAGAAAGGAGCGTGATTAAAAAGGTCTGCAACAGAAGGTGATGCCAGCACCACAAAGAGCAGAGATTTAGGATTTAAATGTTTATGCATTTAGCAGACGCTTGTAGACCCAATTAAACAGTTATCAACAATATGATGATAAGTTCTAATTCAGAGTCAGACTCAGTAGTGAGAGCAAAGAGAGAGAGAGAAGGGGAAGTATGGAAGAGCAGCAGAGGGGTACAGAGCTACTGGTAAGAGTTAGGATAAGAGATGATCTTTGAAGAGGTTGGTCGAGTGTGATATGCGTCTTTAACATGATTTTAACTCACCAGTCTTTGACAAAGGACTGAAAGTCGAGAGAGAATCCCATGCTGAGAGGAAGAACAGGAGGATCTTCCTGCAGCACTTTGGTCAGAACCTCAAAGTCTGTCTTGCAGTTCTTGTAGGGAAACTGTCCTGTGGCCAATTCCACCTAGGAAAGAAAAACCAAACAGACATCATTCCCTGACTTTTGACCAGTGATGGTGCTTGAGATGCTGACATTCATTTTGATCAAAGGTAACGGTGATGTATTCAAATCATGTTCTAATTGGGTAGAGCTCAGTTATTATAAGCTCTTAGAAGGCTTTAATTAAATAACATTTAACGTGATAATTAAAATGATTCAACCATCTTTTTACAAAAATTAAACGTTCTATTTTCATTTAGAAAATAGATGTTTTGAACCTGGTTTGCCGAGTAAGAAACTGAGCTGATAATAAAAAAAAAAAAAAAGGAAAAGCAGTTTGCATAAAGCAGCTTTTATAGCCCAGAGGTCACAGATTAGCGGACCGCGGTCTGGATCTCAACCCGATTTAAAACATTTATAAATTACTGCATGTTGTTTGACAGCAGTGTCTAATTTCCTTGCGCCTCTTCTCCTGTTAATACGGTAAAGCCCTGGGGAGCGTCCGGCTCCAGGCTGCA